CAGCTGAAGTTAACATAGTTACTTGACACTATGTGCCTGGAAAACACATTATGCTGCTTCCTTAACTAACATACTTTTGCAAAAGAAAAAAAAAAGAAATGCCAAAGGTGGCTTTTATGATTTAAAATATAAAAGTAGAATCTCAGTTATCTCAGATATCTTCATTAATTACCTTAGGAGCTGTGATTTACAGTGAAACAGCAAAAACTCTGTTGTTTTTTTTATCACTGAGAATAAATTCCATCATATCTGCTGATTCTGGCTCAGCGTTACGCAACCGTCCCCGCTGAAAAGGCAATCAATCTGTTTCTGGTGGGGCCGCGCCGCCAAACCCGCTGCATCACAACAACCATCGCCAATCGGGCTCCAGCCTCACGCATTGCCATGGTAACTGAGCTTCCTCTGTGATGAGGAGGTGGGGACAGCTGATGGAGGAGAGCAGAACAGAGAGAGAGAGAGTGAAGAGAGGTGGAGGAGAGGCAGAATCTAAAGCTTCTCTTGGATTTTATTAAGCTGAGGGCGCTTTGAGCTTTACCGAGGGGCCGGGATGTGGTGGGGAGCCTCCGCGTGAACCGAAGAGTCTCGCCGGGATCAGGATCTGCAGCACTCCTCTCGCTCCTTTCCCTGCATGTGGATCCATCCAGCAGCCCAGAGGTAAAACATTTCTTTCACCCGAAAGATCCGCTTTGATCGAGATTTCATCCCTGCTTCCTTCTCGTGTGAAAATAAACGACACGCTGCTGCCTGTTGGACTCGGAGCGCTCTGACAGCAACCTGCAGGTGGCGGGGCTGTTGTCATCCTCTCCTGAGATGTGGCAGGTGTGTGAGGGGTGGGGGGGGGAAACAACACTCGCTTTTGACAGAATTGAAATATCTAACCGCTGCGCTTTGCAAGTCAATTTAATCTCCTCACCAGATGCAAAAACGTCTGAATTAAACTGCAATTCTGGGAGAAAAAAAAAAGTTTCCCTTTGGCAGAGTCTGAGTTAATATCAAATATATATTTCTGATTCTTTTAATTGGCTGGAATAATTGAATGAAATTATTGCTTTGAAGTTTATTTTTACTTGGCAGTGTAGCTAGCTTTCTATACATCCATAAAATGGGATTTATTTCTTCTGGTTTTTTTTAAGCAAACATACAAGGCTTTATTTTTATGTTCCTGTCAAGCAGTGAGTAATGATCTGCTGCAAACTCAGTTCAGTCCTGATGCCAAGTGTGGAAATAAATCATCAAATACTATATTTATTACTACACGGAACAGAGAGAGGACTTAGAAAACCTGCGTTTGCAGTTCCGCTTTGGGCAAGCTGGCTGCACGAGATTTGGCTGTATTTTGTAAAATCATGCAAAAAAAAAAAAATAGAAGAAAATCACCAGCCTGCCTGTCTCTCTTGGTTTACTTGTTGCATATGTTGTCTGAGTCATTCGGCCCTGCTGGCTTGTGTGTTGTGATTAACAAATGCAGAGACAAATCCAGTCAGGGGATCTTGTTAAAGCAGCACGACTCCTCCATATGCCGAGCGAGTCGACCAGATGAATCCTGGTGGTGCAGCAAACTGTGAGATCATGAATCCCACTCAGAAATCCGACTGCTGCACGTCCTGCTGCAACGTTGGAGAAAAATGGATCCCATGGAATCCAAGCAAACGTGAACAGGCTGTACTTTTATGCTTCTCAAGCGCTTTGAACATTTTTTATTTAATCATTTCCCATTTGACTTTTTTGCATTATTTTTTTCTTTGCGGCCACAAACTTCAATGTATTTCATTGGGATTTTGTGTGAGCAAAAGTAGTAGTGCATAACAGTGGGGGGAAAAAACCAAAACGACACATGGTTTTCATTTATTTTTTTGCTTTTACTCATTAAAATTTGCTAAATGCTGCAAGTCAATGACTCGATGCAGCCTGCTGGGTTTCTTTAGAAAGAAACTTTTTAAAGAAACAGTATTATTATCTGTCTGTCAGGCCAATAGAGCCATTTAAAGCATAATTAAGTTACCTCCAGCTGTTATAAAAATGCTATGTACATCAAATATGACTTAAAATAAATATGACTTTGTAATTTATCGCCTTGAAATTGGATCTCTGTCCCTTTAAAAACTCCTGCTCTTTCTGAAACTCCGCCTTCAGGAAGTGATCACAACATGGCTCCTTTATTAACCATTTAACAACATTTTTACAAGTGTTGAGAAGTAGCTCCTTTAATGAGCTCAGCTGATGTGCAGCCCCACCAGGTGTTTGCTAATTGCTGCTGGCTAGTCTGAAGGAGCTGAGAGGAGGAGCCACAGGGAAGGGCTGCTATGTGAGGCAGAAACTTGTAAACTGCACCTCCGAGGAGGAGCTTTATCCTCGGAGGTGGAGCTAGGTCCAGCCAGGCATTTTAAACAACTGAGTGGTTGCCATGGAGATTAAAGGATTCCTCAAACATGCATGAAAGACACAAAGCAACACTGCAGGTATGTTTTTGATGAGGACATAACATCATAACATGATGTAAAGCTCAAAGTCAACTTTACATAATGCTGCCCCTTTAAGCTTTTCTTTTATCTCACTATGGAAAGAATATAAGACTTTGAACCTATCAAGACATGATTGTCCCCTTAAGCTCTTAGCCTGTTGGTGCGCGCTAAGGGCTCGTGCGGTTCTATGCAGACATTAACTGCAGAGCTGTGGTCGATGTGCTGATGACGCCATTTGCGTGTTCACCCTGTGGATGCCAGTTCCTCTGAAATCTCTCGATACATTTGTCCGTTGCATGTTGTCCCTTCCAGTTGACGGTGTATGCGCTTTTCCACCACAATTGATAAAAAAGTTTGGACCGGAAGGATTTACCTTGGAATGATCAATTTGCACCTCAGCATCTCGCCAATTACCACGGACCAATCAACAAATGCAGTCTGCAGCCAATCAAATTGATCCAAAAGATGAGGATTTGCAAATGGAGATGAATCTGGCCAGGCCTGACTGGGGATGAACCGGTTAAAACCACGCCCGGTTCATCCCCAGTCAGGCTGGGACATGAATCAATCAATCAGAGCGTGAGAAGCCCACCTGAAGTACTAGAATCTGTTGATAGAAGTATTAGGCGTGCGCTTCAATTAATCTGGCTTTTATTTTGGAAGAGTTCCTGACAGAAAGCAATATAGAGTCTTACAAGCCATGTAGGGGAATGTAATGTGGAAGAAGGTTGAATTTGTCAGATGATACTAAAATGTAACTTTTTAAACTTTTTGTAAAACATTACGTGTGGCAGATAATCAACACAGCAGACCATCTTGAACACTCCATCCTTATTGAATCGTCATAGAACCAAACATATAAACATTCATCAAGATCTACAATGAACCGGTTTAGATGAAGGCATGTTCATGTCCAGAGGTAAATCTGATGGAAAATCTACTGGAAGGCTTGTAAGTTGACGTTTACGTCCTCACGACGTCTATTCTGACATAGATTCAGGTTTTCTGCAAAGAGGAATGAACAAAGAGTCGACTGCAGAGATTTATGAAGATAATAGAGATATAAGTCTTGCAGCAGAGAAAAGTGGCAATTCAAGGAATTGCCAGGTAGCAGGCTGAATCTTTTGTTGGATATTTATTTGCGTATATGCAGAGCTACATCTGTTAAAATGCCCTTGGAGTTTTTATTTTGTAGCAAATGGTTAATGAAAACCTTCTCAGAATCTAACGTTGTTAGATTTTCTCTTTGTATTAGCCCTTATTTGCAGTCCTTTACAAAAGAGCTTCTAGGAACAGATCAGTGTTTTTAATCAGAAAGTCTTAAGATGAACAAATTAACTGCCAGTTTTTTTCTGTCACACTTTTAGCTACCTTAAAAGAAGAGAAAGCTTCTAATGCACCTTATCTACCTATTTATCTGCTGAGATAGATCTCAATTTAAGATTGAGAATGTCAAATTTGAGATTCTCCAATGGAGAATTTGAGATTCTCCATGTTTATTAGTTGTTAGTTTCATTTTGGTACCTGTAGTAAGATGCACAAACTGACCTTTCATCCACAAAGTCTCTTCAAAATATTGATGACGGACATTTTAGATTTTGTTATAGCAACCTAGTTTCCAACACAACTGGCGTCCTGATCCTTCAAGATATGAATGTCTTTAAGCAGTATGTTCAAAAGAAATGTCATCTGGATATGTTAATGCATGTCAAATTATTTCTAACTAGCCAATTTCCACAAAGTCCACAAAGCTTTTAGAATATTACAGCATTTGATTAATGAACTTGAAATAATGATTTCTATTAAATTCACTGGGGATAGGTTTTTCCTAGAAGGATAGTTAAATTTCTTTCTCTGTCTTGTAGAAAAACAAATATAGGAGGAATAAGTTTTCTTATTGTTTAGGACAAAGTGGCCCGTTTCTCACAGTCAGTCTCTGATTGGCTGATCAGGCCCTTATGATGACTCCTCAGCCGGTCATGTTGTTCAGCATGAGATATAAAAACAACCAGATCATATATATATATATATATATATATATATATATATATATATATATATATATATATATATATATACACACACACACACACACACACACACACACACACACACACACACACACACACAAGTAATTCAGCAAATTACCGGTACCTTTTTTGAGTCCAGTCAGTTAACGATTAATCAATTACTAAGTTAGTTGAGAATTATTTCAATAGTCGATTCATCACAATTAATATGATTAATCGTTCAGCACCAGAAACTAGTCATATTCAAAAATAAGTATATTTACTGAAACGTTATGATTGATTGATCACACAGACTGATGTTTTCAAATTATGTTGATTATAATACACAAATGTGAGGCTGAAACAAATATTACATGGCTTGTAGAAAAATAATTTTTATTACGATTATAATAATTTTGTCAATGACAATTACTTATTGGTATTTTGGTTTTGATACATACATGCTGTCATTTTTTTTCATTTCACCTTACAGTTTTCAGATTTTGTGTTCTTGTGGAGATATTCTCATTCAGTAAGCATTGATGTTAGCATTGATGTTTCTATTCAACGAGCGCAGACAAAGCTGACTGTTTTGCCGTGAACTGACTGAATGGAGCCACACTTAGATTCTGACTGAGGGATCTTTTCTGGGCCAAGTCTTCACTACAGGAAAATGACTCCATGAGGGTGTGTGGTATTTTTCCTCAGTGCTTAGAAGCTCATTTGCATTCATGAAAAAGCTGTTTGGAAATGTGTTTCTGACTCATCATCCTCAGCCGACTGTAGTAGGTTAAATTTAAGCTTTGCCTCATTGTTGTACTAAGATGGTGTATTACAGCCAGACTAAGAGATTTTCATTGTTTTAAGTTACAAGAATAAAGTCACAGTAGTTACTAGGATGCAAACAAGTTGTAAAATGAGAGCAAAGCTTCTATTTATCAGGATCTGACGCGACTAACTTGTCTAGTCTTGCTACTGATAATTTGATCCTGATGTGTTAAAAAATGAAGTATTGACTTATTTGGAAAATTGATACCAAAGCATAACTTCACAAGATGTTCAACTTCCTCATTTTGTCTTTCAATTACTATTTGTGGTGGAATTTGTTCTCCTAATATTCGACTTTACTATTCAGACTTTACGCTCATATTATATTGACTTTGTTATATTGACTTTATAGTCG